GGCCTTGCAGCTCCACTGCCGGGCCCCATGAGGGGCCCGGCGGTGGACCTCCAAGGCCGGCGGGAGTGCTAGGAAGCCCCGCGAAGGCCCTCCCTGGCCCCAGGCAGGCAGGGGTGGGGAGAGGCAGGGAGGAAGCAACTTACCCTCCCTCTTCTCCTGCCTCCTCCTGGCTGAATGAGGGCCGGAAGCGGGGCAGCCGGAAGCAGGGGGCGGGGCTTCGTCATGTGCCCCGCCCCCGTACCTCACCCGGGGGAACTGCGATCCCCCGCGATCCCCCCCCCGAAATGACCTCTGCATGGGGCTGAGAGAGCTCTGACAGAAACTGCTCTCAAGAACAGCTCTGACAGAACGACGGCTTGCCCAAGGTCATCCAGCAGGTGCAAGTGGAGGAGTGGGGAATCAAACCCGGTTCTCCCAGATTAAAGTCCGCGCACTTAACCACTACACCAAAATTAGATAGGATATTTTATCATAATCTGACACTTGCAATATTCAAGGGTCAAGGGGGACAGGACCAACGGACAAGCTGAAATGAAGCGAGATGGACACACCTCCCCACAGACAGAACGATGACTTCTCCGCGCCGTCCCCTTCTTGCTTCTTTGGATTTTTTAGCCGGACTGAACAGCTGCCATCGTTTGTGGCTGCAGCGAGTACAAACGCCCTTCCCTGCAACGCCGCCGACAGTGTGCAAGTGATGGCCACGGCAGCTGTGCTTGGACGAAGGACCTCCGGGCGACAAAGGAGAAGTCGGACTGGTCGGGCTGCCTGGCGTCGTAGGGCTATTTTTAGGAGTTCAAAACAAAAAAACCACCATGCACACATAAGGGGGCGAAAAAACAAGAAAGGAAAGAATCACAACAGATACATTCATATGGGGTAGCAATTTTAGCCTATACCAGCAACACAAAACTTGAGCCCAACAGCACCACAAAGACCAACAAGGGAACAAGCTTCTGACAAAGCTTTGACTCCAAAAAACGCCCTGGAAAATTCTGTCGCTTTTTTAGATCCTACTGGGGCTCTGGTTTTGTTCTGAAACACCTGCTCAAAATGCTTTGGTGGAGGCACCGTTTTTTTCTCCTTTCAAATCGTTCCAGCTTCTCTTTGGCTTAACCTTTTGGTCCTCAAACACCCCCTCCCCCCCCATAAAGGGTATATACAGACAGATCCATCCACTGTCACATGTTACCCGTAATCAGATCCAGGGAGTACGGTTAACAAACTGTAAACCCCTAAATGGTGTTCAGAAGATTTCATCAGTGCAGAGAACTGACCCATTTTTCTGACGGTATGATGACCTTATATATTACTAGGAGGAAGGCCCGTTCTGGCCCAGAATGCAACGGGCTTCTAGAACAGGTCCTGGGTGAGTGTGGCATCGTAGAGGAGCTGCACTGGCTCTGTATTCTTGTTGCTTGGGACACAGGGTGGAGTGTCTTTTTGGCACTGGGGGTCAGAGAGCCCGCTGGTTCACCCACCCCCCCCCGCCGGGAGCCACAGGCAGTCGCCGGCAGAACAGAAGGCCACCCAGAGGCCGCAGCATCACCAGAGGCGGACCACGGCCCCTGACCGACGGGGAGTGATGGAGGGGCGGAGGAGCACGGGTCTGGGCGAAGCAGCAGAGGCCAGCGTCAGGGTAGTAGGCGGCATGCCGCCGAGGCAGGAAGAGCCACCAGCCGGAGGAGAAGGAGGCGAGAAGGCAGGGCGCCGGGCGAGCAAGCCCTTTCGGCCGCCGGAGCACACAACGCCCCCGTCGCCTCGCAGCTTACTGAGGCAGAAAGGCGGCAGTTCTGTCGGAGTGTGGGCGGGACTTTGACAACACATGGGCATGCAAGCCACCAATGGATGACAGGACCTTGGCAATGCAACTACCAATGGATGGCGAGACCTGGTGATCGACACGTCTCCCGGCCAAAGGCTGCGGGAGTGTGTCCCAGGAGTCACACAAAATGAGCTTTATATATAAGAGAGATACTATACTAACTGTATTGGCTTCCACTTCATTTCAGAGCCCAGTTCAAAGGCTCTCTTTGATCAGTACAACTCCAAGTGGTGCGAATCTTAAGACGGCTTCCTCCCACCTGAAGCTACCTGTGGAAGCACCATTCTTTGCCACACTATCTTATGAAATGCAGCAGGAGGATACATGAACTACACCTGCTCTAGAATTCCTTGCCCAGGAAAGTTGACCTACGCTCCATCCTTGCCCCCTTTTGTTTGTTACAAATGTTATCTGTGGTTTTTAAATTTCAGGTATCACTACTTATTGATTTTATCATTGCTGTCATCTGGAGGGTCCCCGTATGGGGATGGTAAATCCAGACAGAGATACTGGCCTTTATCCAACCATATTACGAAAAAGTAGGGGCACTTTTATTTTATTTTATTTTTTGGATTTTGATTCCGCCCTCCCCAACGCAGGCTCAGGGCGGATCACAGCAAACAGAGTCAAAGACTCATTACAATAAAATGACATTACATTAAAATCATTATAACAGTAAAATTCAGAGGTAGCAGCAAATTACATTTTAAAAAAAACTGTTAGGGTCCTATAGGTGGAATTAATGAGCACTTCAAGAGATTGGGAACTAGAGGAGGGGAGGTGGAGAAAACATAAGGCCTCTGACGCTTTCTTAGCTGCATGGTATGGTCCAGGTTGTTTTTAAACAAATGGAACACTAAAACAGAAGCCACTATAGATTTTTTTCCCCCAGCGAAGTGAAACCAACTTCTTCTGATCTTCACAATTGACATAACTCCGTATTGCGAGAGGGGTTGGCATGAGTCATGCATACCAGTGAGTCAACTGCTGGTTCAACTGCCGGTCTTGGTCCTTCCCCAAATGTTTCAGGCTGGCTCTACACGTTTTTACATTTTTTTAAGTGCCGCATATATTTTTAGGCATTTTTTTTTTTAAGCACACAGAGAGTTGCAAAATTCTTTCAGGGAGTGAAAATGGGGCTTGTGGTGTCTCAGCCACCAGGCTGAGTCCATCCACAGCTGACTGCTGCTGCAAAACGTACAGAAACAATTTTTCCGGATTTTGAGTCTGGAGGTAAATTGTAAACTGCTTTTGCATGCTGCACCAGGTACACCAGTGGCGTCGCATAAGATACTTGAGTACGTAGATGTTTCGTGGAACCATGTTACTGTTTTTCAACACCGTTCATAAAACGTTAACTGTAATTTGGCTGCCAATCCATTTAGGAAACACCAAACATATCAGTGAATAAACGGCACACTGCAATCGCTTTCAAAGAAGTGGACATCTCCATAACCAGTCAAACAATGAGAGACACCATTTAAGGATAAAGTATTAAAATGAAAAAAAAGATGTTACCTTTCTGGGTCATTCACAGAGTTATCCGCCACCATAGCCTTCAACACGTCAGCATTTGCTGCAAGGAACATAAATGAACGTTTTAGCATCACTCTTTGCCTAAGGTTAAATTACCCTGCCCCCCCAATAGCTAGCAATCCAAAACAGTCCAGTGATACCTTTAAGACCAAGTTTTATTCAGGTACAAGCTCTCCCTCCTCTGCGAGGATAGAGCTGCACGTCCCCTCCCCCCCAATAGCTAGCAATCCAAAACAGTCCAGTGATACCTTTAAGACCAAGTTTTATTCAGGTACAAGCTCTCCCTCCTCTGCGAGGATAGAGCTGCACGTCCCCTCCCCCCCAATAGCTAGCAATCCAAAACAGTCCAGTGATACCTTTAAGACCAAGTTTTATTCAGGTACAAGCTCTCCCTCCTCTGCGAGGATAGAGCTGCACGTCCCCTCCCCCCCAATAGCTAGCAATCCAAAACAGTCCAGTGATACCTTTAAGACCAAGTTTTATTCAGGTACAAGCTCTCCCTCCTCTGCGAGGATAGAGCTGCACGTCCCCTCCCCCCCAATAGCTAGCAATCCAAAACAGTCCAGTGGAGCCTGAGTGGTGGGTGTTGCCTTCTGACACACTTCCGGTGATGTCAGGGGGTGTGGCACATGTAAATAAGTTATTCTAATGAGTTATGCTAATGAGCTCCTGCACCTCTTTTTCTATGAAATTACCCCTGCCCTGAAGTGTTACGCTAACTTGTAAGCTATAAGATAACAAAACATAAAACAAGATTAGGCATAAACATAACCCGAAATATGTTGGAATTCCTCGGAAAGACAGGCCTTTGGGGGAGCTGGAACAGCTCAATTATGCAGCATCTACAGCAGATCCCAGGTGGGTCTGATCCCCAGAATCCCAATTTAAAAGGATCAGCAGCAGGTGATGGGAGAGACCTCCACCTCAGACCCCAGAGAGATGCTGCCAGCGAGAGTAAACAACACTGACTTTGACAGATCAATTGTCTAAACCGACATAAGCCGACTTCATGTTTCATCCACTTGCTCCTGAGTTAAAGTTCCACTGAACTGGGCCCATGGGATTAAGCTATATTTAGCTTCACAACTGAAGGTTTAGACACTTTCGAAAGCTGATCAGTTATTAATTAATAACCACATAGTAATTGACTGCGGTGGCTCAAGTGGTTAAGATGCTGAACTGCAGGCTGTGGAAGGCCGGTAGTTCAGCAGTTCAAGACCCGAGTGTGCCGCAAGACGGAGTGAGCTCCCGTCTCTAGTTCCAGCTCCTGCCAACCTAGCAGTTTGAAAGCAAGAAATTGCAAGTAGATAAATAGGGACCACTTTGGTGGGAAGGGAACAGCGTTCTGTGCACCTTGGTGTTTAGTCATGCCAGCCACGTGACCACAGAAATGTCTTTGGACAGCGCTGGCTCTTTGGCCTGGAAACGGAGATGAGCACCGCAACCCTAGAGTCTGATTCGACTGGCTTTCGAGCAAGGGAACCTTTACCTTTACCTTTTTAACTGACTGACAACATGAATGCAAAACTCCTTTGTTGACACACACACCCTCCACTTAACCAGTAGTTTTCTACTGCTTTTTAACGTATAACAAATAGGAGAAGCAGGAAAATTCTGAGAGAGAGAGAAAGGACGTGCTGCAAGTCCAAAGCTTCTCTGAATAAGGCACAGGCTGTTCGAACAAAGCTTAAAATTGTCCTTTTGTTGTTAGACTCTTGTTCCTATGAGGGTATTATTATAGGAGTCACCTTCATCCTTTAATACAAATAACAGCAGTAAAAAATGTTTTAGAAGGCACTTGTCTGTTGAGATGTGGGTCATGGTGGCCTACAAAGATGACAAGCCCACAAACAAAGAGCTCATTTCTGGGCCAAAGTGATCAACATGAACACAGGGAGCAATGGAGCCAGAGTTTAAGCATTTTTAATCCCACTGAAATACTTTTTACCCAGAGAATGTGGAATCTGCCATAGTGATGGCCACAGGCATAGGCAGCTTTAAAAAGGGATTCAATAGATTCATGGAGGAGAGGTCTATCAGCGGCTACTAGCCATGGGGACTGCGGGGAAACTTCACATTCAGAGGCGGTCGACCACTGAATGCCAACGCCTGAAGGCAATATCAGGGGAAGGCCTCGGCCTCTCTGCCCTGTTGCTGGCCCTCCACAGGAATTGGCTGGCATTCTGTGTGAGACAGGATGTTGGACTAGATACAGCACTGGTCTGATCCAGCAGGACTCTTCTTATGTTATGACCTTAGCAAGAAAAGACTTCAGCATGCACAGCGACGACTAGAACCAGCTGTGAAAGCCTCAGATCAACCTCAAATCCGCTGCACAAGTTATTGGGGGAGGGGAGCGGGGGGGGGTCAGGCTTATGCAAACCCCTCTCTTAGCCTCAGACAGCTAAACCACACAGAAATGCATAGACGAACCAAGCCTCAAAACTGTTTCCCACCACATCTCACAGGAAGAGCTGCTCCAAGGGGGGGGGGGGTGTTGATGTGAAAAAAAGGAGCATCAAGGAGACAGATCTACATAGGATCATTAAAAAGTACCTTCGTTTTTCATAATGTAGTTGACAATCTGTCCCACAGTGTCACCATTATCATTTGTGCTTTCATTCAATTCTGTGAAAAATAAAGAGAAGGAAAAAATTATCTCTGTTCGTAGCTTGGCAAGCTCAGGAAAAATAAATAAATAAATGTTTTTTTAAAAATAATAATAATAATAATAATAATACTTTCCATTTATTAATCG